CCAAAGATGTCCATTTCCTAATGGAACTCATCCAGGTCATGATCGATCCATCTATATATATTCATTATTTTCATTTCACGTAATTAACACACACATATATATATGAATCATACACATGCTCAGTATGACTATATATTGAGTTTATAAATTTTGGATGTTTATAATGTTGTATATATATACATACTGCAGAACGCAGAGGACAATGAGTACCCGGAAGGAGTGGATCCATCGCTGGAGTTTGTTATTACCTGTCGTGACATTAATTACAGCCACGGGGGCTCCGGCTACACTGCTTTTGTTCAATAACGAGAAGGGCTTTTCACCCAAGAATATAGAGTCCATTTGCAGTGTTGGTCGGTCTACCAAGAAGGGCAACAGGAATCGTGGTTACATCGGGGAGAAAGGTACTATACATACTTCAAAAGTCAGAAGTCAGAAGCTCTTGAGAAATTTCAGGAATTCAAAGCTTTTGCAGAGAAAGAATGTGGCCATCAAATAAAAATTCTTCGAACCGATATGGGAGGAGAATTTTTATCTAATGAGTTCGGTAGTTTCTACAAGCAGAATGGGATCAAGAGGCAACTTACTATAAGAAGAACTCCAGAGCAAAACGGGGTTGCTGAAAGGAAAAACAGAACAGTTGTGGAGATGGCAAGGAGCATGTTGAATGAGAAGAAACTTCCACAAACCTTCTGGGCTGAAGCAGTTGCTACTACTGTTCATATTCTTAACCTTTCTCCAACAAAGGCCGTGCGAAATATGACTCCATATGAAGCATGGTGGAAACGGAAGCCCAATGTAAGTAGTTTGAGAGTTTTTGGTTGCATTTCTTATGCCATGATAGCTTCTAATGATCGTACAAAGATGGACCAGAAAAGTGAGAAGTGTATTTTTGTTGGATATAGTTGTGAGTCCAAGGGTTATCGTCTATATAATCCTATTACTAAGAAGCTGATTATTCGTAGAGATGTTGTTTTTGATGAGAACAGTGCATGGGAGTGGAATGAAGGAAAGATTCAGCACTTGTCATATGAAGAAAGTGAATCTAGTGAGCCACAAGCAGAGGAGACGGAAGTTGGCCAACAATCTTCTCCTACACTGAGTTCTCCAACAAGGTCACCACAATCTGCTCCAACTCCTCAACCTCGAAGGATGTTCACTAGAAGCATGTCTGGTGCCATTCTTAGGAAGGAAAAACCTTGGGAGCAAGTTTATGACCTAGATACTTATGCACTTCTGGTGGCAGAACCTACTTGCTATGATGAGGCATATGGAAAACAGGAATGGGAAAATTCCATGAAGGAGGAGATAGATTCGATTGAGAAGAACAACACTTGGGAGCTTGTAGATAAACCAGAAGGGAAGACTCCAATTGGTGTGAAGTGGGTCTATCGAGTGAAGTATAAAGCAGATGGGAGTGTGCAAAAATACAAGGCAAGACTCGTGGCCAAAGGTTATGTGCAGAAACATGGTATTGATTTCCTTGAAACTTTTTCTCCTGTTGCTAGATTTGAGACTGTTAGATTGGTGATAGCATTAGCAGCTCAAATGAAATGGAAAATTTTTCAGTTTGATGTTAAATCTGCTTTTTTGAATGGTTGGTTGGAAGAAGATGTCTATGTTGAGCAGCCTGAAGGATTCATTGTTCAAGGCAAAGAAGGAAAGGTGTACAAGTTCAAGAAAGCTCTTTACGGACTCAAGCAAGCCCCGAGAGCCTGGTATGGTAGACTTGATTCATACTTGCATGATAATGATTTTCATCGCAATGAAAATGAGCCCACTTTGTATGTGAAGGTGAAAGGAGGTGATATTCTCATTATTTGTGTTTATGTGGATGATATTATTTACACTGGTTCTTCTAACATTCTTATTGAAGAATTTAAGAAGAATATGTCTGCTGAATTTGACATGTCTGATTTGGGGCTGCTGCATTATTTCCTTGGGTTACAAATTTACCAAACTGATTATGGTATTTTTGTTTCACAAGAGAAGTACGCATTGGATTTGCTAAAAAAATTCAACATGCAGAATTGCAAGATGTCTGCTACTCCTATGAATACAAATGAGAAGTTGACAGTAGATGATGGAACTCCAAGAGCTAATGAGAAGTATTTTAGAAGTATGGTTGGTGGATTAATGTATTTGACTCACACTAGACCTGATATCATGTTTTCAGTTAGCTTGGTTTCAAGGTTCATGCATAATCCCTTTGTGCATCATCTTGGAACAGCAAAACGAATTCTCTGTTACATCCGAGCAACAAGCAACTTTGGAATTTGGTACAAGCCAGTGCCTAACTTTAAATTTCTTGGTTTTACTGATAGTGATTGGGCAGGTTCTGTAGATGACAGAAAAAGCACAAGCGGATATATATTCAATCTTGGCTCGGGTGCTGTATCTTGGAGTTCAAAAAAGCAAGAATGCACTGCATTATCTTCCTCTGAAGCAGAATATGTTGCTGCTTCATCAGCTGCTTGTCAAGCAATTTGGATGCGAAGGATTATGAAAGATTTGCAGCAAGTTCAAGAGAAGGCAACAAAGATCTTCTGTGACAACCACTACAGCATTTTTGCCATTTAGCTATGGACAAAAACCGTAGATATATGATAAAAATCTGTAGGCATATGCATCTCAAGACTTATACCTACGGTAAAAAAAGTGTAAGTATATGTCCCGTAACTATAGATATCTAACTACACTTTTGTACATATTCTTACACTTTTACGTTTTGTAGGTAAAGGTTTAGTGAGTCTATACCTACATCTAAAATACCATAAGTAAAGAGAAATACCTATGCTTATGAGCCATAGGTAAATATTAATAACAACAAAATAGTAGTTACGATATTACCTTTTAGCTTTATTATTTGTCGTTGCCAAAAGTATTATTTAACAACACCATAAATTGTTACCAAAAGTTATATTTTGCAACAATTATAATTATTTTTTAAAATAGTATTTAGAAACAACAAGTTGTTGTTAAAAGTAATATGAAAAAACAACTTCAATTGTTATTTAAAGAAATATTTGTAACGACGAAAAATTGTTATAAAAGATGTATGTTGCAACAATATTAGTTGTTGCTAAAAGTAATATGAAAAAACAACTTCAATTGTTATTTAAAGAAATATTTGTAACAACAAAAAATTGTTATAAAAGATGTATGTTGCAACAATATTAGTTGTTGCTAAAAGTAATATTGTCTAACTATTTTACTTGTTAACAAAGCAACAATTTTAATGACCAAGAATCCAGTGTTTCATGGAAGAACAAAACATATTGAGCTGCGTCATCACTTTATCCGAGGTGCGGTTGCAGATGGATTAATTGCTTTGGAGTATTGTTCAACAAGTGATCAAGTCGCTGATGGATTTACTAAAGGACTCTGTTTTAGTAAATTCATGAAGTTCCGTAACTCACTCGGAGTTGCAAAGTTTGCATCAAGGGGGGATGTTGAAAATTGATGCAAAGTGGTTATTGTCTTTATCTAATTTGGTTTTTAGTTTGTTATTTAGTTTGAATAAGTCTTCCTGATTTTTCTTAAGAGAGTGGGGTAGTTGCTGTTTTTTAGGATAATTTGTTGAGTTAGTTTTGTCCATAATTTCAGTTAGAGTATAGTACGTGGGTATCATGTTACAATCCCACTACTTAGAGTTCCAGTATATATCTGTATGTTTTTTCAATGAATTTAAGAATTCAGAAAGTCACCTTTTTACTTCTCAATCACTTTGTTATCTATCTCCATTTTTCTGTTCTTCTCCAACACTCTGAAACTCGGTGATCCAGGAGAGAGAAGTGCACTATCTATGCAAATAACTCCATCTTCTTCCTCATTATCTCCCTCAGCATCTGTTTCTTCTGTAGCCATCTTTTCTATCACTGCCATCACTGCCTCCACCACATCCTCCTCTGGAACAACTTCCTCTAGCTGTAGTGATTCAGGTGTTGCATTTGCTGA